ACACTTTGCTTTAAACATTGTTTTGAAAAATAAACAATGCTTTTTAAAAAAAAAAAAGTGTAAAAAACTTCCCACGTGTAAGCAAAAAATGGCTTTTGAAACAGTTACAACCAAAGTAACTGATTAAATTTTATTTGGTTGTGAAACTTAGTTTCGGATAGAAAGTCAAGCAACGGAAACAAACCGAATAAAAAAGGAAAGAAGACTATCAAATCAGCTTCAACGGCCATGATCATAGGGTTAATCCTAGGTCTTGTGCAAGCTATTGCCTTGATTTTCAGCTCCATGGTGCTTCTAGGCGTCATGGGAGTGAAAAAAGTAAGTTTTTATACATATACACATTTTGGTTAGGACAACATGTATGTCTGATTTGGGTTTGGCTTTTTGTACGACAGGATTCGCCGGTGTTATCACCAGCACACAGGTACTTAAGCATACGATCATTGGGTGCTCCTGCATTGCTTCTATCTCTTTCAATGCAAGGCATTTTTCGTGGCTTCAAGGACACCACAACTCCTCTCTTTGCTACTGGTAAGTTATATAATTACTCTTTCTTATAGTATAATGATCTTTACCACATCAAGTCTAATATGAATATCATCTTAATGCATGGAACAGTCGTAGCAGATGTGATCAATATCGTTCTCGATCCCATTTTCATCTTTGTACTTCGTCTTGGCATCAGCGGTGCAGCCATTGCCCATGTCATTGCTCAGTAAGTGATATAACTTTGAATTTTTTCCCACACATGCAAATGTGAACTTGAAACTAATATATAAAGTTATAAACCCAATACTTGCTCGGATCGAGTCCCACTAGGCACTTTTTTAAAAAAAAATTTATGGGGGATTAGTCTGGATTTTAAATTTTCCGGTCACTGAACCAAAAAACACCTAAAACTAATGGTTTTGTTTGTGTGAAGGTACTGCATGACTCTAATATTGTTCATCCGTCTCGCAAAGAAAGTAAATTTGAAGCCACCAAACTTCGGAGAATTGCAGTTCGGAAAGTTCCTTAAAAATGGTATATAGGGGACTCATCATTAATGTTTTTTTTTTGGCAGTGATCAAAATAAAATGTTATAGTATTAAAAAAAAAACTACTTTTCTAAATTATAGTGAAAACATGAATTTTAAAAATAAATATTTTAATGTTATAATTTTTTTTTACATAATAAATTTGAAAAATATACAAAAAATGTGGATGTCTAACAAATACTTTAATATTTGTGCAACACAAACATTATAGGAGGTTTATTGCTGGCTCGGACCATAGCTGTGACGTTTTGTCAGACCTTAGCAGCAGCAATGGCAGCTCGGCTGGGAACAACACAAATGGCTGCTTTTCAGATCTGTTTACAAGTCTGGTTAACTACTTCTCTCCTCGCTGATGGTCTTGCCGTTGCTGGTCAGGTAATAAAATCAATTATTATAAAATCATGTTTATTCATATAATTTCTTTATAATATATAAGGTTGATCAAGGTTATGAAAAATTAATCATATCATTAATCTCTCCTTTAATTTACAGGCAATTCTTGCTTGTTCATTTGCTGAGAAAGACTACAACAAAGTAACTGCTGCTGCTTCACGTGTTCTACAGGTTATATTATTTGTTCATCTCAATTTTGTGTTAACAACTAGTAGTAAACTA